AATGGGGGCTGAATTCTATGCATTGAATTCATTGGGAAGTTATTGTTTTTAATGCTTTTCCTTTGGGAATTCAGCCAGCCTTGTTTTCCCAAGCTGTGCTGAAACCGTGGGGCATTAATTCCCTATTGCTGTGCTGAAACCGTGGCCTTTCCTCCTTGGATTTGCTGTGACGTTTGGGGTTTGCTGTGCTGGAAACCGTGGCCTTAATTCCTGTGGTGCTGTTTGGTTTCTCCATGCTGAAACCGTGACTTTTTCTGCTTTGCTGTTTGGAATTCCTGTGCAAGAAATTTAAGGCTTTTATATGGGAATATGAACAGATTTTTGGGATAGAAATTGAACAGTTTTTGGGCTGTTTTTGGACAGATTTTTTGGAAGATTCCTACTACAGTTTTAGGTGCCTTTTGGCCTTTTATCTTCCTATTTTAATTAGCTTTTAATTAAGTTTTAGTGGCTATTTGTATTTCTTTCTTAGGTCTATAAATAGTAGATGTTTTGTGGCTGTTAAAAAAAAGGTTATGTGAATGATTTTTGGAAAGAAACCTGAGGGTTTTCTTGGATAGCTTGCGAGCTATGCCACTTCTTCCTCTCCTCTTCTAGGAAAGCTTGCGAGCTTCTCCTCTTTCTTCTCGGGCTTCTAATCTCTTTCGTCTCTCCGCAAGTGCCATTCCATATGTATCCTTCTTCTCAAAGTGAAGCAACTTTAGGGTGTCGTCAAGTGATTGAGTCAAGTTTGTAAGTCTTTCTTTATTTTATAATATTAAAGTTTGTTTTGTCTAATTAGTCTAATTTTTGTGAGTTATTGTAATCTTTTATTCTCTAGAAAGACTCTTTTTTGTGATAAAAAATTTGGGTCCCTCCCCAAATTTTTGATTACATCAATTTGGTATCAGAGCAAGTTTTAGAAAGTCTTAGGTTTTGGTTTGAGGTTTGTCAAGTCTTGTTTTTGTCAAGTCAAGTCTTGTCAAAGTTTTGTAGTCAAGTCAAGTCAAGTTGTGAGTCTAAGTCTAGGTTGATTTTTTGTCTTTTTTTATTAAGTCAAAAAATGAAAAAACAAAAGCCAACTCATCGGGAGATGAGTTCTTCAAGTAGGGGAGTTTGATGTATGCAAGGGGGGG